TCTACTTCAGCTCTTATAAAACCCTGAACGGTCTCTGTTGGCCAGGAATATGAAACGGACACACGATGTTTGTCTAAACCTTCTCTACAGCTTTATAGAAGAGCTGCCTTACTGAGAAAATGTGACCAATGCACAACAAAATACTGTCGACATCACTGCTTCTACTCGCATGTTTTCTAGCTCATTTGCTTCGGAGTTTTGCATTCATACAGTATAACAATAGCGATTCATTGCACAGACCATTTACATTACTGTCATGTCACTAAATGATTGATTACCAACAAGGACAAACTCATCCAGGAGATTATGTGCTGTAAATGTGCTGCGATGACATCTTCAGTGATTAAACATTTGCAATGATGTCGGCTCTTCCTATCATAGTCAAGGTGCTGCAGTAAGCTTTGAAGCTACTGTCTTGCAGTGGCTTTTACTGACTTGTGTAACTCAAGTGACTAAACTTGATAGCTTTACACAGCATATACTACATGTCATTCATTCAAATATCTAAAGAAAATGGCACACTTCAATGATATATATGTCTAGGTAATCATTATATTCCTCCTCTACATTGCTACATTCAGCTCACTAGAACGCAGCTCTCATTGTTGTGTTACTCACTGTGGTCATCTTGCAGTTCATAAAATCAAAGCTGCATAAAGACTGTAATTTTGGAGACGTATAATTGACCTGTTTAAGTTTATAGCGAAGGGTTAACTCTTGGTTTAAAACTATGCATGAGTTAACTGTCTGCTCTGAGTAATGCAGTGGAAGAATTTTGAACATTGTTGGGTTTGGGTGAGGGTGAGGTTAGAGCCCGAGGGGTCATCTCTGGGATGCACAATCCTTAATTAGCCTGCAGCAGTGTTTAAAACATGGGCTGGGCTTCCCTTTAAACATATGCAGCCTGTGACGCTACAAACACGACCACAACGCTGGACTTTTGTTCACACATGGCTCAGTAATAACCTCATAAAGCTCTATTTCTAGGATGTAAAGAAACCCACTGGCTTGGTTGAGATGATTCAAATTCTAGTATTTAGTGAGCTTGTGGAAAAATCATCTGGACACCCTTGATCATGCTAATGTATTTCTGGAGGATCTCAGGGGAACAAGAAAAAATAGCGCTTGCGTGTTGTTTACCTGAATTGAGGAATATCCTGGCAGGATGGATAAGATGCCTGTGCTCTGTTGAAACCCATGTGCGTCAGCAGATTGTCAGATCTTGGAGAAGCATGGTGGAGACCTTTTAGCAAAGGGAACTTATCTGTCAAAGTTGTGATATTTAGTTAACAGGTGTTTACAGAGCGGTGAAAATATTATATTAAATATTAATTCTTATATTGTGTTGAATTTCAAAGGAATGGAAAAAGTTGAAACAACAAATTCACTCTGAACAAAACATTTACAGTGCTAATAACATATGCCAATACTGTTTCAGTTGAGTTGAGTGAATTTCCACAAAATTAGATTAGTCCTTGGATATTTTGAAGGTTATGGGTATTCAAAAAAAAATCCACAGTATGTTTTATGATGACATAGATATGAAGTATTCATCTGTGTGCCACAGTTCAGAAAAGTGAAAGTGTAACTGATTGATTAGTCACAAAGTGTTATGTGATCTGGGTCAGAGATCCCACCCCTCTTACACTAATAAACTAGATGTCAGTCACCAGCAAACATTAGACTGAAATGTCAGCCTGCAAGTCCGGTCATGACACTGGGTTCTACCATACAGGTCTACACGCCTCGTGACCCCCAGGATCACTCTGGCCTGTCAGTCACCCAGCATGCTCTCAAGGAGAGGACGGCTAGTAAACAGGAAGTACAAACACAGTTTCAAAAGTGGCTCCCACCATTCCTTCTGCGAGGTGTTCCCCAACCATCACACTGACAGGTTAAACGGACTCCACTGAAAAAAGCCTCCTCTGGATGGTAAACATGAAATACTACAGATGAAATGTTGGAATGACAGACGCTTATACGCTGCAGTTACAGATGTCAAAAACAGGACAGGTACGGATTACAATACAAAAGTTACAAAAGTGTAATAACAGGTTTAGGTGGAGAGGAGCAGAGTGTCGTTTTCACTTTGGCTGATCTTAAAGATCCAAACATGTCTCAAACTAGTTACGTACATATCCATCATCTGGTGCTGTCAATTAATGATTAAGCTTGAGGTTTTTGCCCCCTCTTAATCGATTAGTCAACTAATCAGTTGTTTTCGTCAAAGTCAACTTCGATCTTTTTAGTTGATTAGTCGTTCAAATGCTTATTTTAAATTTTTTAATTTAAAGTGGTGCATTGGTACAATTCTTTGTGGAGAAACTCAGTTTTACAGATTTGTCGATTAAATCAATTAATTGATAAATTGACAAAAAAAATGTAACTCAACAAAGAATATCTTTAGCTGCACAGCCCGAGAGATTGAGCAGCTGGAGACCACTGGAGGTAACAGCTTTAATGAGTCATCCACAGGTGTACTAGTACTTTATTCACACCAGATCTACTAATCCAGCCATGGACTTTTACACCCATAGATTATCAATTGACCTAAAATTGCCACCAGGGAAATTAATCATTTCTACAATTCATTCTTTCCATCCTTCCTCCCTTCTTCCTGTTTTTCTACAAAACACATTTTCCATACTCCCCAGTTACTCACTATTACCTCCCACAATCACTCAGCCCCAAATCACACACTGTTTTATGCTTATCCTTTGGGACTACTCAAAAGCTTACATGCTCACCCTATCCCCCCCAAGGCCCATGGTCTCATTTCTTGAATCTTACTTATTCTTTCCAGCAAGCCTCTTCATCACCCAGATACCCGTCTACCAGCCCCTATTCTACAGTGATGTACGCCCCATGATGAGGTCTTGTTTTCTTGAGTTTGATCTGCCTCCTCTTTGAAGTGAGGTCTGGGGCAGTGATGGCCTCTAGCTAATGTGGACATGCTGCAGTTTGGATGGCATACTTTCCAGCAGAGCACGTCAATAATGAACGTTTTTCTCATCATTTGTCTCCTGAATATGGCTTTTATCTTGGCTGCACAGGGCTTTCCTTCCAACGTGTGCGTGCCTTTGCATACATGCGAGTGTACATATGTATTCTAGTGTGTGTTTGTATCTGTAAAGGTTTACAATAACACAAGGGTCCAAATGTTTTTGAACTCTGTGTTTTAATGTTAGATTTATCTCGATGTAATCTCAAGCATCCCAGCAACTTTGATCATGAGGGAGGCTCAGATACTCCATCATTCACACCCGGAGACCAAGCAGCAAGTGCGGAAGCGAGGACATTCTTGATATGTTGTAGTGGTTCACAGTTTATGTCCTGTCCCCTGGAACCTCACCTGAAACACATCCATTACATCTTCTCCCTAGTTCTGATGATTCCATGATATCATTTTCATAAGTTATAAATCCCACCGCGCTGTTACATCATTCAACATATCCTGAAATGTTCATCACAATTTTTTTCATTCTCACAGAAGTGAACAAACAGAAAAAAATACCTTCATCAGGTAAGGGAGTCAGTTTTACGAAAAATGGAAAGGATTATGAAGATATAAAAAGCCGACAGGGAGCAATTACACACAATGGTAATGAGGTCATGGGAAATATCTGGACCCAAAAAGTGTGTGCGGAGAAGCTGTCAAAGTTTGAGGACCAAATCATTTGCATTTAAGAGATCTTGCTGAAGCATAATGGGGATAATTCACAGCAGAAACCTCTCGAATACACTACAACAGAAATTAACAGCTGAAAAACAACATTGTAACTTGGCTGTGCATAAAGCAGTTAAACACTAACAGTCTAGTTTTACTGCGGAGACCTAAACGCCTGGGGGAATAATAAATGTGATGACTTTGGTGAGTAGAGAGAAGGATCCTGCATTAGGGGCAGAGAATGGCTAAGCCTGAGGGAGAGCGAAGGAGCCAGGCTCAAAAGTATCCTCACTGCCTCTGACGTTCTTTAACCTCTTTTGTGGCATTGAAACCTCATGTCTCTGGCCTCCAGTCACTCTCTATTTATGCAAGAAAATAAAGAAGAGAACGCTGCCCCTCCTAAATCTGTAAACTGCAATTAAGCTAAATTCCAAGTTTATTTCCAAATGCCGTCCTTGCTCCAGACCATGTGAGAGACTTGAGTCTAAAATTATCACACTTTTGGTCAGGAGGCCAAGAGCAAAGCCAACGCTAGGACTGTCTTCTCACAGGCCATAGGATCAGTAAGACGCTCTGGACGGCTAAAACTATGGTGATAATAATTTAGAATGCCATAATAAAAAAAGTTATCATTTAAAACTCATTTTAAACATCTTTTGAAGGAGCCACTGCAGTATGTGACTCAGAAAGTTTCCAGATTACAGCCATAGATGCTGCCGCTGCTTTCAACAAGAGAAAACAATTAAGAAAGCAGAAGCAAAATATAAACACAATGTAATGACATCTCGATAATGAAATTACTCATGTTTTATGTTTACTCAGCCCCTTGCAAGCCAAATGGATTGTGCAGTGAGACAGCTTAACTAAAGGCATTATGTCTAACTGTTTTATGTTAGCCCTTCTAACCAAAGGTCTGACATCTGGAGGCAAACAAAAAGCAACCCACGCACCCCAGCACCTCTCTCTGTCTAACTGTCTCTCTCACTCTGTCTGTCTTTCCATCATGTGTTTACACGTCGGTAGAGTAAGTGACAGGGCTGTAATCGGAAGTCTACAACCGTGTCATTTGGAAGACTGTTATCTTTTCCTGGGAGCATGGTGGTCAGCAGAGAAAAACAAGATTTACATCTCACAGGGAGGGGGGCTAAGTGTCAACCATGCATTATCCCCTATTGGCTGTGGTCAGGGATGGGCGTTATTGTGTGGACAAAAAGATGCAGACAAATTTTCACCCATGGAAGACATTTTTATATTAAACCCAAAAGATATTGTTTCTTTGTAAGTCACAAGTTAGAAAGTTAAAAGGATTAGACCAGGTGTGTGTGGTTCCTACCGTTGATTGCGTCATTTGTCAGTCAGCCTTTGTGGGAAAGAGATGCCACCTATAAACAAAAAAAAGAGAGTAGATCAGGGTAAATACAGTTCATAAAATGTCAATCTGTGGTCTTGGAAAATAAATCAGGGTATTTCTGAGGCTATTTTGTGAACTCTATATTTTTGTTTTCCTCTGTGATTGCCTTTGGTATTGGAGCAGTTCTCCACTTTCAGTTGGAAATAGAAAAGTAACAACCAGCGCATATTAAAACTTCCTCTATAGTGCTTTTATTACAGTTGTATTTATTTCTTCACAATGCTTACTGTTTATTCTTACTCAAGCTATGAGAGGTTTACCACTAAAGGCCTTCTTTCACCTCCTGGAAAGAATTAAACAGAGAAGCTTGGATTAAACTATGATTCTCACAGTGTTCGCCTAAACCTGGCGACTTAGTTAAAGGACAGGGAAATTGCTATAGGAAGCGAATGTTAATGGTGCACCTTTGCATCTATTTGCAGCCTATGAAGTATGCAGAAGAGACACAAACTGACATATAAGTTGTACAGTAAAACCAAGTTCATGCAAACATGTGTAGGTGTTGTAAGAAATATACCACAAATGAGGTGTGTTTTCATCGCATCGGTTGAAAGGAATAAACTGGCAAAACATCAGATAACCAAAAACACACTTACAATTAAAATAGAAAGCCTCCCAGAATTGATTAGTCATGGACAATTTGTGATTCTGCTTGTATGGCAGACGGTATTAGTCATCTTTCATGCTGTCTGAAGATAACAATAAAGCCAGACATTTAGAAATATTGTCCTGTCCAAATGAATGCACAACAGTGCCTCATAAACAGTGCATGCAGTGCTGTTTGCCATCTGACATTTTTAAAAGCATAGTGGGAATATCAGGGATGATGTGAGAAATATTGCAAACTCATCATCAACATCAAAACTGTATTTCCACTACCCATCATCACCATACTCAAGCATTGGTTAAAATGTTCATTGTGTGGACATTTTATCAAAATGTTTAAACTCCATTCATGTTTTTTACCTAACATATTTGTATTTGCATGGACATTTTGGATGAAAAACAACTGTTAGAAAGCAGAAAAAGTCAGAGGCCCAAGCAGTGCCATGCCCTGATTTCACCTGAATCCAGCTAGCCAGACAAGCTTAATCCTACACAGCTTCAAAGCTTTGCAATTCACATGTGGCCTCCACCTGAACAGAGTTAAGGAGAATAAAAGACAAAACACCCAAAGAACAAAAGAACCAAAGAAGAGAGACCATGAGTAATGCCTGTTGTGTCTCTGGGAACTTCCAAGACTGCTTATTTTTACCAGACATGTGTCTATGTAAGTCACCATTTGTAACGTTATTCATATTTCTGGGGGTGTAGGTGGATGCAGCAACCCTGCAGAGAATAACAGACTTTTTTTTTTTTCAATGGCTGCTGACTAAGATTGGGCATCGCACCATGTTCCTTCCCATGACTCACACAGCTTAACGAGAGTCATCAAAGAATTGATCATCCGCCAGTTCAAGACGCTTACTAAGACCCAATGGTCAACGAGGAGGCAGTCACGCAGACTTCAAAACCATCAAAGCCAGACATGCAAATGTACAGACGCTTTAAAAAAAAGAGATCTTAAACCAAATAAACCAACTGCCAAGGACTCATCACAAAGTAGCCACAAGATGTTTATATCCTAAACAAAAGCATGAATCAACCCTTTATATCCATTAGATGTACCAAGTGAGTTTACACAAAACTGCAACTTAACCCCTTAATGATCATACTGGCTGTAAAAGAATCCAGAAACTGTTATCGTAAATGTTTTTAAAAGCACGCGCAAAGTGCCCAGGTTCAAGTTGACAAAAGCTACATTTTGTGCCCCAGTTAATTGTCCTTAAGAAAGATCCCGAACCTCCGACAGGTCACGTGTACAGTTTTTTCTTTTGATAGGAGCAAAAATACTAGCAGGAAGACAAGCAGAAGTGCAGATTCTCATAAAAATCACCAGTGTACACAACTTAAATCACAGCACAATCAAACCAGCAACGAGCAAAGAGACATTTGTGGTTTGTTTATTTACAAGGTGACATCATGAATAGACTGATCATGTATAAAGATGATAATCCTGCATCAAGAGTAAATCACAATACAACAAAAGAATAAATTATTAAAAAAAAATGTGATGAACCTAAATACATGCGGAGGAATACAAGCAAAACACTCACGCAGAAAGACATAAGAAATGCTTTTGGTTCATGTTCGAAAGCTCTTCAACATCTGCGCCACATATTGTGTCACATACCAAAGGTTTCATGTAAATTATAACCATCTTCACAGTGGAAGGTAAAACTGTGCAAACTAATAGCCAGCTTCTTTTTTAGTATTTAAGCTTGGTTTTCTGTTTCACACCTCGGCACTTCTATGTTTTTGAGTTTGCATCTGTACACACAGCAGAGCACCTGCAACTTATGTCCATTAACCTCGTGCTCTGGGACCACCCATGCATGTTAGAGTGTAAAGGTAAACATTTCTCAATGAATGCAGCAAGGGGAAAACCCTGCTGGAATGTGGTTGCATTGTGAAGGCCAAATAGTGCTATGCTTAATCTAAACAGTCAATGTGATCTATGAGCTGGGGGACTCTCGGAGTTCGCAGTTTTGCACAGAAACGCAACAAGAAAAAAAATAGATTAACAGGATGTGTAACAGCTGCACAGGGTTTCCACTCAGACGATATCATGCAAAGAAGATTTGGATAACTCTATTCATAAGAGTCATTTGTTGGAGACAATTTATGATTCTGCAAGGCAACGCAGTAACTGTCATGAAAAGAGCATGAACTCTGAAACTCATATTTCATGTTGTAGAGAGATGTTATGCCAACATCATGTTTTTCCACCGCAGCAGGGTTATGTGACTTAATGCCTTTTTTCACAGCAGATATTCTGACATGCTGATAGCAGGAAAAGCAGGGGTGTAACAAATAGCATCAATAATGGCTGTTCTCTTTTTAGGTGTGTCAGTGTCAGGGCCTTGGATCTGTGCGTGCCGGCTCACTGACATGGCTAACTGGGTCATAACAATTCAACACAGCCATCACTAATATGCTTAGTTCCACCTGTAATTTTCCCACTGTGACAACTCAAAATGTCTGCAGAAAAAAGGCCTATAGCACAGATTGAATATGCAATTTCAACTTAACAGCTACATTTAACTCATCCAGGCTTTTTTGCCAATTATTTTTTCAAAGTGTAGCTCGGAAGCTAGTTAGCTATATAAGAAGATGACGTCCCTATTCATATCCTACTTACCGTTAAGCTCTGACGGGTTGACCGTGTCTCCAGCCCAGGAATCTGTTAGTGGGCTCAACAGACCTTTTTACTTGGACTCATAGCAGGAACAGCACAGGTGTAAAATAGAATGTGTTAACCATTTCAGTGCCATCAAGAGCCCCAGTAAGCCACGTCAGTGAGCCAGCATGCACAATACCAGGACTCTGAAAATACCTCACCTAAATGGAATGAAGTTGTTCTTAATGTAATCAATTACACTTTAGGCTGGGCAATTTGGCCAAAATCTTCAATCAAGATTAATTTATATCTTGACAATAAAATACATCACAATATAGCATGTTTTCTTTTTGTATACTCTTGTATGTATGTGAATTAAATACTTGACAAATGAGTATTTTATCATTTAGTGAAGAACTTAAGTGCAAAGTGATAAGATGTCCTAAGAAACTTTAGTATGTGCTTGTTATTTTAATTTGGAAGACGTAATTGTGTATTAAAATATCTCTGTAAATTATTTCATTATATGAGGAATCATCATATTGAATTATTGCCCAGCCTTAATAACACCTGTGTTTTCCCTGTCATGACAGGCCAAAATGTCTGCTGTGAAAAAAGTCTATAACAGATCTATAGGAATCAAAGAACAAATCTGAGATGTGTGCAACGAACCAGGCTTAGATTACAGTAGGCAAGGCAACGAAAGTAACAATTTCTAGGTGAAGAAGGGTGAAACTCAAATTATATGGCTTAAATTATACAATATTATGTCATCTCCACCCAGGTCTGCACAGATGTATATGGTCAGTCCAAAATGTATTACTGCATTCGTGCACATGCGTGGACACACAATGTTGTATAAAGAGAACCACATGTGTCAGATGTCTGCCCTGCTGTCCACATCCATGTCCATTTTGGAGTATATGAGGGCCTTAAAAGGTTTAGGTCAGTGGTTATCAACCTTTCTGACTCATGGCATTTAGAGCTCACAAATGCATACCTGTGACCCATCATCGCAGGTTTGGTCTATGAGTTGTGAGCAGTTCAATTTAAGAGGGGTGTTCAAGTATTTATGGTAAGCTAAGCTAATCGCCTGCAAGCTCTAGCTCCATACTTTCTGTACAGACATGAGAGTCTCTTGTAAAGAAAGCTGATAAGTGTAATTCCCAAAATGTTGAACTATTTCTTTAACGTTAGGCAATTAAAAATGTGATGTATGCTCAAGTAATGATTATATTTGGTAATGATTAAATGAGAAAAAGCTTTACTCACTTACATTTAATGTGAATTTAGTGAATCGGGGTCATTAAGGATGAAGGCAGCTAGTATGAACACCACATCTTCACAACAATAGAGCGGTGCAGGAATGAGTTCTGAAACCAGGAAATGAGTTAGCGTCGTTTCACTTTCAGTTCCCTTGTTTCGAAGTCGGAGGGTTTTTTGAAAGGGCTTTTGGTTAGATACATGAAAAAAGGTGCGCGTCAACACAAGGTTAAGAAATTTTAACATTCTGTTCTATGATATATAATATATGTCAGTAGATACCCCTCATGTGAATTTTGAAGCTTTTATGTGTCGTCAAAAAGGTGGTGGCAAACAAGTGGCTAAATGAGACCTAAAAGACATCATCGCACTGACTAGTCAGCCTTTAAAGCCTCGTGGTGTATACTCACGTTCATGCAACGTTGGCTTTTTACTACCGGGGATTACATTCACAATTCCAAAATAATAAAAGTAGTGTTCATTTGTGA